TAGTTTAAGCCCTTTAACTATTCATTTTGTTCTAAAAAGTCAGCCTTTCGCATGCTTAATTAATGCCTTTACCTAATTTGCATATTGCTGACATATGCAAATTAGCAAATGCATTAATTAAGCATGCAAATACCTGATTTTTCGGCAAAATTGTAACTTTGCGTGAATAGTTAAGGAGCTTAAACTAAACCAAATTGTCTGAAATTTTGTACAGTAATTAAAATCCCGACAAATTTTCCATCTGTTAACTCAAAATATGATTGCAGCTTTTAAATTTTGTGCGCGAGCCGTTCTTAGTTTGTTGGAAAAGACACCCCCCCCTGGTTCACAAAATTTGAGTTCGAGAAATTTTTCTCATTATTCTACATTATAAGTACCCAAAGAGGCCATATATATAAAAAAACCGGATACAAATAGCTGTTTTGCGAAATTGAGAGCAATTTTAAATCTGTTCAGTTTTTTTTTATACACCCTGTATAAAGGACAGTCTTTGAAAAGCGATAATTTTTACAGACAAGCGATAATTGAAAAGCGATAATTTCCACATGTGAAATTGTCATAAATAATCTCGCATGTGAGATTATCAGTTTTATCAGTGGCTCGAAATCTCTATAAAACACTATACGTTATATAATAAATAATAATAATCGGTCTATCATCAATTAATACTGCATGTTTTGAAAGGTCTTAATCCCCTCCCCCCAGCGTATGGTTTATATGGATGGACCCTTACTGAAAGATTAATAATCAAGCATGCACAAAACAAACCGCTATATATTAAAACCGCACACACGGTCTTTCTTGTCGAGATGGGAGTGGAAAGACATTTTGCCTTGAAATTTCATGCACACGGGCAATTAATTAAAGTTCGCAAATTAATGACACATGGTGACTGCATGGCCAGATTGTTGACACTTGAACAAAGATATTAATGATAGGATCATGGTATGAATTGGTTATGCGGTCGGATTCAATTAAATAATTGTTTTTGTTATTTATTAAAAATTTTACAGCAAACATAGTTTATCACAGTTTTACAGCAAACATAGTTTAAACATAGTTTACCTCAATTAATGATAAGCAATTTTGATATTTAGCATCAGGATTTCCAGTAATGTTTACAAATGTTCCAACAGCCGGACCATTTTCATTTAATCTACCTTGTATGAGAAAACCTGCTACCGGTTCACCGCTTACCGATACACGAACCATTTTCAAGTTTTTGTCCCATGTAGCATTGAAAGTGTAGATACTCGGGCCAGTTTGACGTTCAATCAGTGGTGGTATGAATATTCCTTTATGCCCTGGGACCATGGATTTACAACTTGGGGATGGAGCACCATATCCACGACCACAAACAAGATTAGTAATTATTGAAAACACGACAAGAGTTAGTATATACATTATGAGAAGTAAGGTCTAACTCTAGAATGCAAGCTCTAGAGAATGTTGGTATATGAACTTTATAGCCGCAATGCTTTATTATATAGACAATTTGAAGGAACAAAGAATATTATGATGAGGGTATTGTTTACGAAATATTTTGCTCGATCATTCAGAATTTCCGTTTTTGAACTGCGCCCGTCTTGATGACCGTTTCCTGTCATGCCCAATAAGGAAACATGCCTATTGAGTTATGGGTGTGAATTTTGTCTGCCAATTCTATAGTCGCGTGAAGGATATTGGTTTTCATACCGCACTTCCATTAATAGACCCATTGCACATGATGTCACAGCGCCGGTGACGATGCATCTGGAGAACAAATTAGCAATCTATGCATAATATACCTTTTGTAAACAACGCGAATTTTGTAAAAGTTTATAATAATTTTGTATTAAAATGGTTAATTTTTGCGCTGTATGTGGTTGTTGTACCCGAACAGATATTGTTAGGGAGCATTTAGAGGACATTCTAAGGATTTGTGACGTCAGTGCAATGAGTCTATATGCACGTACGGTCAGATCGAAATGGAACGGCAAAACATTGGAGTTTGAGACTGCTCTGACTGGAAAATTTGGATCAAATCAGGGGGAGGCCAATTTTGACCAAATTTCAGTTGAACAACCTTGTCTCAGACCTTTCTGACTACACTAGAAATTCTGCTCTGAGTCCGACTGATCTTATAAGTTCCGGTTATTTAGTTAGTTATTTAATTTAGAGTCCCTGAAATGTGATTTCAAGCATTTTGGGGGTGAAATCTTGCAGAATCCCGAAGATTATAAAGTACGTCGAAGACATAAATTTTCCCAGACATTTCTAAGTTTCTACTCGCTTTTTATATATGATACAGAATAAGTCTGAGAAGAATATTCATGTTATCATAATGCATATACATGTAAATCTAAACTAAATCTATTCCTCTTGGAACCATATCTACAACTGTTTTAACGAGATTTTAGAAATCAAGTTCTTCCAGTATTTCGTCGTTTTCCTCAGTCGAGACGTACTTAATCCGTTTCAGCTTCGAGGATGTAACGTGTACCCCCCCCCCCATTTCTCTACGGATTTAGCCTTTTTCAGAGAATAGTTTTTTTGCGATTGGGGGGGCGACCGCCCCCCCCTTGCCCCCCCCCCCTTGGCTACGCCCCTGCCAACACGCAAACGCAGTAGAAAAGTCACCGAAGCCAACATCGCGCATAGCTTGAAGCCAACATGGCGCATAGCTTGAACTTCGAGAGACTGTAAATACTATATTATGAGCTTTCTAATGTTGTCTCAATGATATATGCCTCCGAACAATGGCATACTTCGAAACCCGGACCGGACTCGGACTCGGACCCGGACTCGGACTCGAAGAAAATCCGGACTCGAGAAAAACCCGGACCCGGACTCGAAGAAAATCCGGACTCGTGTTTAACAAAACCCGGACTTGACGTCTGAAAACCCGGACTCGAAATAGACAAAACCGGATTCAAAACAAGGACTCTGTGCACGAGAATGCAAAGGTTTTATGATTTGTGCTCTTGCGCGGGTGCCCCTTTCTCTTCTCGCTTTTGTATATAATAAAATACTTTATTTCAAAAGCAATAAGCTTTGGTTTCGAAAGATATAGATATTTTTTTCTTCTAGTGACTCAGTGTTATGCGTTATCTGAGGATACTAATCAGTTATCATACTATATGGTTCCTCACATGCAAAACAATCACTATATAGCCTACCTAAACAAATCATTTAGCCTTATACATACTTGCTTACTTACTTAATTTAAAAATTTATTTAACCACGCATGGTCAGCACAACATATTTGTAAAATACATACTCCTGCGAGTAGCTAAATCTACCCTAGACATAAATTAATAACTGAAAACTGACTCAGCATAGCAGACTCAACGTGATCGATGGCGGCAAGGGTAAAATATATCCTCAACATATTCGACCTCACTATCGGCAAAATGACACGAAAAATAACTAGACTTCAACCAATCAAAAGTAACTTCAACCAATCGAAAAGAACGCCGGAAAAGTACATCCCATGTTGAAGGCAATGAAGGTGTCGCGGCAACCCCGCCTAAATACCGACTGTGAAGTAATTCGAGCGTTGTGCGGTTGGACATAAATTTGATATTATAACATGGCTATTACTATAACAAGGAATGGGGAATCGGGGAAAGGAATCGGGGAACGGGGAATGGGCTATTACTATAACAAGGAATGGGGAATCGGGGAAAGGAATCGGGGAACGGGGAATGGGGAATGGGGAATGCTAAAACCCGGAATACTAAAATGGGGAATCTCTAAAACCCGGAATACTAAAAGCCGGAATCTCTAAAACCCGGAATACTAAAATGGGGAATCTCTAAAACCCGGAATACTAAAAGCCGGAATCTCTGAAACCCGGAATACTAAAATGGGGAATTTCTAAAACCCGGAATACTGAAATGGGAATCTCTAAAACCCAGAATACTAAAAGCCGGAA